CTCTCAGGTGAGTGTTTGCTATCTCTAGGAATTGGCAGCCTCTCCAAGAGTCAGCCAGTCCCCAGAAGTCAAAGCATCAGTAAATAAAAGACACTATTAACACAGGTCTCGCCTTCTCATGACCCTATGCTTAGTACTACTGAGGACTTAAGACAGTCCACTGACATCCTGTCATATTCTATCCAAGGAATAATTTCACTCCTCCTCTCTGGGCACACACAGACTCCTCACATGGCAAGGGGGAGGGGGAGGGTCTCCAAGTCCCTAGAGTTCACCTCTACGCCAGGAAAGCCCCTCTGCCAAGCACCTGTGAGCTACAGAGGGAGTGGCATGCTGGTCTGCCTCTGGGAGTGAGCCCTCTGTGCCATGCTGACCTATCCCTCACAAAAATGGGCTGTATGATATACATTTTTGGTCTTCTCTTCTGGTTAGCAAAGACAATAAGATTGTATGTTATACAAGATTTGGTAAGGTACCCATTGTTTCTATATACCTTAAGAACTCCAGGGATAAAGATAAAAAATATGTTTGTCAATTTTATAGCCAAAAATAGATTTTATTCTATAATTTGCATTTTTTTGATTACTAATTGGACGTTCGTTCATATGTTTACTGGTCATTTGTATTTCTTATTTTGTGAATTGTCTGTTCATGTTATTTGTCTATTTTTCCATTGGGTTATTAGTCTTTTTCATATTGATTTCAAAAGTACTTTATATATTAAGGATATTAACCCTTTTTCATAGATCTTGTAAATATTTTCTCCCAGCTTGTCGTTTTGAATCTTATTTTGCGTTTTTTGTCACAGATGAGTTTCAAAATTATATCTAGTTAAATATATCAATCTTTTCCTTCATGCCATTTACTGTTAACAGTTTGGTGTGTACTTTTCTAGACATTTTCTATGCATATGCAAATTATCTGTAAATATATATATAGTTAGATATATAAAGTTTTCCTGCACATTTTAGATAATATACAAACTATTCTACAACTTACTTTGCTTACTAGTATATTGTGGATATTTTTCCATATTAAAATATAAAGGTCTAACTCTAACAGTATTCCATTATATAAATCTACTATAACTTTATTAAATCAGTTTTTTTTTAATTTTTCATTTTTTATGTAAATCTGGAAGTTTTTTGGTGTATGAGAGAAAGGGAGACTGAAGTTTATTTTACATGGTGAGCCAATGGTCTCAATAGCACCTATATCATTTTAAATAATTCACACTTTCCTCACTGATTTAAAATAACTATATATTAAATATCATACATTTATTGTTCATTTGATCACATATTAAATACACCTATGAGTATATTAAGAACATGGGTTTCACTCTAGATTTTTTATTTTGCTTCCTTTACTTATTTATGCCTTAGTTAATACCACATTGTTGTAATTATTGTAGTTTTATAATATAATTTGCTATCTACAAAAGTCAATATTATCCCCCTATTTCACTTTTTTTTTCCATTTATTCTGAGCTTAGAATCACTCCATGAAGTTCCCAAAGCAAATCTATTTAGGGTTTTGATTGAAATTGTATTAAATAAACTAATCAATAAAAGGATTATTGATATATTTGCAAATGATTGTTTTAGTTTAAAAGCATAGTATGTCTTTCTCCATCTATTCAAGTTTTCTTTTTATGCACATCAGTAATGTTTTTGTTTTCTTTGTGTAAGTCTTATATTTTTCATCAAGTTTATTTCTATATATTTTATATGTTTTATTACAATTATAAATGGTATTTTTAAAGTATATTTTCTAACCAACCATTATTAGTCTGTAGGAAAGTACTCATTTTGTGTGCATTTTGTAACAACTCACTTTACTGAATATTAGTCTAATTGTTTCCAGATGATTCTTTAGGATTTCTCACACAAGCAATAGTGTCATTTGCAAAAAAAAAATTAAAAGACAGAGAAGATAGATGGTCTTATTTCATCTGGTAGAGTATTTACACTTAGTTTCTTTTTATTTTCTTACTGCTTTGGCTACAACAAATTCCTGGATGTATCAATTAAACAGTTTTTTCTCCCTGGGATTCCATTGGGGTTACACACATAGACACACACACACACACACACACACACACACACTCACTCACTCACTCACAGATGGGCAATTTATGATTTAATCCTATTTTCCCCCTAATATTTTTATCTCTTTGTCCTTTTCTTCTGAGTTCTTGGAGATTTTCTTGGGCTTATCTTCATATTCTCTGATTTAATTTCTCATAGCATCTAATATGTGGTTCACGGCTTCTTTTGGATTTCAACATTCAACAATCAGTATCTTTCTTTAAAATACTCATCTTTGGAAAGTTGCTGGTGGTGCCCCAATGGCTAAAGCCAATGGTCCTTATCCTTTGATGGCTCTGTTATGCTGACCCCACCCCCACTCCTTCCTGGAACCTTTTTTTCTCTTGGTGTCCATGACCTTATGCTCCCTGGTTCTCCCACTAACTCCCTTTTCTTCAGTCTCTCCCCTTCCTTCTGCTCTGAGTTCCTGAGTTCCACCCTAGTCATTCTTCTGTTATCACTTTATAAATTCTCCCCGACAATCTCATTCATCCCCGTGCCCACCACCTGCATGCCAAGTCTCGAGAGAGCTCCAGCCTCATAGTTCCGTTTAAGGTGTGTCCCTGCCTGGGTGTTTCAACACTAAACTCACTGTCTCCCAGATTTGTTACTCCTAATATTCACGGTATCATCATCCACCTAGCTGCCCAATATAGAATCTCAGTGTCATCCTAAACATCTCCCTCTCCCGTGGGCATCTGCCCTATCCAGTCACTTCCTGCTATTATTCTACAATACAAATGCCTCTCCCTTCTCCTTCTCTTTGTTACGACTTGAATTTTCAAGCCCTCAGAATCTCTCTTACCCCAGCTGTCTTATTTTTAGTCTTTTACTCATCCTCATCATGTGCCTTTCCGCAGCACACATTTAATTAAGCCAGTTGTCTGTTCAAACAATTTCAGTGGCTCCCGTTGCAAAACAAATTCTAAACAACTTAGGACATGAGAAGCTTTCTATTATTTGGTCCCAATAAGCTTTCAGCTTTGTCGCCTCCCAATCCTTTCTAGACGCCCTGTGTCCCAGCACACCAAGACCCTCGCCATCCCCCAAGTACCCTCAGGTCTTGTGCAGACCCTCCCCTTTGCCTGTGGAGCCCTTTTCCTGACCCTTCAACTGTTCATCCTTCAAGATCAAGCTCAAACGGCAACTCTGTGAAGCCTTCCTGGACTCCTGAGGCAGAGAGGTTTAGGTTCCCTCCACGGTGCTTCTCTACTCAGGCACGTGGGACTGCAGTTATACCTGTCTGTCTCTCCCTCCAGATCAAGAGGGGGCCCAGGACTCTTCTCTATTGTTCTTGTTCACCTCTCACTCTCACGCCCTTCTCCTCCATCATACTCACCAGTCTAAGTCCCTATTCAAGTTAAACCCAACTGCCGCTTACTCCACACCTGCACCTGAACAGTTAAAAAGCACAAAGCTGTAGAATGCAATATTACCCAGTAACCTTTCTACATACCTATGGTTTATTCAGTTTCTCACTTTTCAAAAATGACTATTTCACACCTTCCTCCCTGTCCCCAAACATCCTGTAATCCCTCTTCACTGATGACCTTGCTTCTAATTCACTGAGAACATAGAAGCCACCAGAAGATAATTTCCTCACTCCTCACCAATACATCTTCTAATTCCCTTGCATCTGAGCCTGTACCCTCTGCGCCCACCAAAGTCCGGGCCATCGACTTTTGCTCTGCATCCGGTCCCCTCCCACTTCCCACAGTCTTGGCTCTCACAGTGATCCCTCTTTTCCTCTCTTCCATTTATATCTCCCTTTCTATTATACTATTGGGTCGTCGGGAAAGTCATGACGTATTTTTCTGTTTTTCAACGCAAAAATGCGTCATGACTTTCCTGACAACCCAATAGATCATTTCCATTGGCTGCAAACATGCCTGTCATCCATCTCTTCAAAAACAAGAATAACAATAAAACAGATCTCTTGACTCTTCCTTCCCCTCTAGTAACAACCACTCCGTGTCTTAGCTTTCCTTTACGCCGAAACTTTTTTTTAAATCGTCTTTAGTAACTATCTATAATTCCTCATCTCCACCCATTTCAATCAAACCTCAGTCCTTTCTACTTCACTGAAACGGGTCTTGCTAAGGTAACAGTGATCTCCAAGTTGTCAAATGACATGGTCACATGTATGTCTATCTTTTGGCTGTGTTCAACACAGCTGACCACTTCCTCCTCCTTGAAACTCTTCCTGTCCCAGCTTTCATGATACCTACTCTTCAGGTATTCCCCTTCCCTTCTTGGCTTCACAGTCTCCATTGCTAGATTCTCCTCTTTTCTCAATGTTAGCATGTTCTAGAGTTCAGTCATGAGACCGCTTTTATTCTCCATGTCCAGCCTCTCCATGAATAAGCTCATTATTCTATGGATTTAGGACCATCTCTATGTAAATTACTCCCAAATTTGTATAATCAATCATATAGTAGGTGTCCAGTAAATTCTTGTTGAAGGGATGAATGAATCCTAGTATTCCTTGCAATTGGTACTGTTCCTGACCCAGAATAAGCTCTCCTATGTTTGCTGAATTAATGGATAAGTCACTCCAATTATACTGTGACCTTTAGAGCAGAAACCCTGTTTTAGGTGTGGTTTTTTTTTTTTCTTCCATAGCACCTATCACAATGCTAGAGACTTCCAGTGCTTATTTGATTTACTCTTCTTCATAAAGAGAAAGCCAAATTATTAAAGCTGTCTTTTTAATAGACTTCCTTTCTCTGAGAATAAACATGTGACACGAGAAGAATGTCATGAGAGCCAGGATGACCTGGGTAGGAAACTACTGGAGCTGGTCAGCCATTCTCCAGTGTAATATGGGTAAAAGGAAGGTCTGCACCTGGTAGTTTTCCTATCAGGAGTCTAACCATGATGCTACATTTCTTTTTGGTGAATGTGTTGTAGGATGCAACCTACCTCCTGGTGATGGTGGACCCAGACGTCCCTAGCAGATCTAATCCCCAATCTCGGTTCTGGAGACATTGGCTGGTGGCAGATATCAAGGTAAGCATGCCAGGAGGCACTTTCTGGTTAATTTGGGATTATAGCTGGAAGGTTATCATTCTGTGTGGTTCTCAACTGTCATTCACAAGGGTTGGGGACTCTGATGAGCAAGGACTTCTGTGTCAGGAGGCCCTCTGCACCCAGCTGTCACAGCCCCTCCTAAGTTTTCTAACAATTTCAAAAAATGTCCCAGGATCAGTGGTGCGTAGGCAAATGGGCTCTCAGGATAACAGGGGGAGGAGCCCTGATTTGTAGTGTTTGCTGATTTCTGTGGTGTAATTACTCCCACTATGGCCAATTTCAAGCTACGGATGATTTAACGACTGACTCACAAGATTTCTGAAAATTTAACAATTGGCTCTGGAACACCACTGCCAGGGGTGATTCTGTGCAGTCCATGGGGGCACCAGGGTGATTCTGTGCAGTTCAGGTGGCAGAACTGGCCGGCGGGGGGTTGGGAGGGGGTAGAGTAGGATCCTGCAGGAGTTTGTCCTCCTGATGGGCGGAGGGGCATAGAGTAAACATGGCAATTTCCTTTCTGTGTATGGAAACAAATGGCTTCCCCTCATCTTTGTCCCCTTATAGTCATATTTGTGAAGGAGCCTGGCTCACACTTTCTGGAGTAAGTCTGAGGAACACAAATCTGGTAGATTGTCAATGGGCGTTATGGGGGGGGGGGTTGTGGGGGGAAGGTCTATTGCTAGTCAAGTTATGGGTTAAACTGACTTCACCCCATTCCTCAATGAAGGGGTTTTTAGAGCTTTCAATATCCTAATATACACTCTATAACTTGCGTTTATTTTCCAATCTCATTTGACTATGGAATCTTTTGTTCATAAGCACCTGGCTGGGCACTTTGGGAAAGTCCACACTAGCTTCAAGCATTTGTTCATCTCTGCCCAGAAGACCCGTGGATGACCTTTGCATAGTGTGCAAAGGCATCAGTCCCAGAAGACAGTGGGAACCCAGAACTAGAAATAGGAAGTTTAGATTCAGGCTTGGCTGGTTCCCAACTCAATGACCTCCATCAAGTCATTTGAACCTCTCTGGGCATTTCATCTTTGTAAGATGGAAACCTTGTTACCCTTTCTAGGTGACTGTCCTGATGACCTACTGAGAGAGCATGCTGAGAGCACTTTAGAAAACGTGGAGGGTCCCGCAGATATAAGGAGCTGTGTTCTTCCTTCTAGAGCTATGGGGCAGAGGAAGGGGTATCATCTGAACTAGCTATAGATGCTCCTGAATGAGGCAGGATCTCTCATGGCCACTGGACAGGGGGCATAGGGGAGTTACCCTGGCAACCATCCCTGCCCAGCGACCACAGGCCCTTTGCAGGATGCTCAGGTGGACAGCCCGTCCTGCGGCAGCCCTGGCCACGGCCTTGGACAGAGCCTGAACAGGCTCCTGTGGGAAAGCAGGGGCACTGCTCCACACACTGCCTTGGCCTAGTGAAGAGCCTTGGAAACGGGGCAGAGCTGGGGGAGGTTTATGCCATCAGGGTCAGGAGGGGAGCTGAGGGCACAAAAGAAAAAGGTGCTGGACCCTGTCCCAATCCAGAATGTTGCCATTTTCTGTGCTTGGGGCTCTCTGGCAGTCACAAGGGGCTGAAACTCTCAAGAAAAGAGTATTGTTCTGGACAGCACATTTACAGTCCGCCGCCCCCCCCCCAAAGGCTGTCTGTAACAGGGTTCTACTGGGCAATTGTGATGCCAGAGATCAGAAGCTGTTGTGGAAGGAATAATTTCAGCATTGGGGGGGCGGGTCCTGGGGGCCATGATGCTGCCTGTCTTCCAAGTCTGAAGTCCCCCCGCCCACTCTTCTCACCCCAATACTCAGTCAAGACAGTTCTCTCGCACTTATGGTGCAGACATAGGCTATGCCTCAGGAGCCCAGCTCAGAAGCAGAGCAGGTGGCAGGTGACAGGTGGCAGCTGTCCGGCAAGGCTGCTAAGCTGAAGAGCTTACCAGGGCCACCTGCCCGGGTACAGCCCTCAGCCTTCCCGCTCAGGCCGGAGGAGGCTTGGGTTTCAGTCACATTTTCACCCACTTTCCCTGATCTGAGGGGCCAGCAGGAAGCAGCCACTCTCAGCTGTATCCACTTGGCCTGCCCACCAGCCCTCAAATTCCACCAGCTGCAAAGCCCATGTAAAGCAGACCCATTTAGGTCTTAGGCTACGGACCTTGGCCTAAGGAAGACAGGGCTCTAATCACACCCAGAAGCACTTCCTTTGTGTTGGTGTTAGCTGCTGCTGAGTGGTCTCAAATATTAGAGTGCATTTGAATCCGCTTGTTAAAGTGCAGACTCCTGGGCACCACTTTAGTCAGTCTGGAGAGAACACGGCATCTGAGTTTAACAAGCATCCAGGAGTATTTTAGCAGCTCGAAGGATGTCTCAAGCGTTCCATGTTGGAAGGACTTGGTCATTGTTAATATCACCCATTTGTGGAGCAATTTTCAAGTGAAAAGCACTTTGAAATCTCCTGTTGATCCTCACAATGATTTTGTGAACTGGATATTATCCCCATTTTATAGATGGGTAAAGCAAAGCCTGGAGAGATTGAATGATGCAGTCTCTCAGCTAGTTGGTTGTAGAGGTGGGCCTTCAGGCCCAGACCCCAACTCCAAACTGCACACCCCTCCTGCCATACTATGTGGTCTGGGTTCACAGCACATCTCTCCCATCCGCTCTACTGTGGCAGGGGTGTGCCACCGTGCCCTCTTCCTAAGACATGATTTCTGTGTGTCCCCCACCATCCCAGAGCCCTATTTCTGGTTATTTATTTTTATTATTTTTTTTAAAGATTTTTTTGGGGGAATTGGGGGGATGGGAACAGCGCTGGGGAATTGGGGGAAGGGGACCAGACAAGTTGCTGTCGTTTTGGTCTTCAGTCTAGTTGTGGAGGACGTTGCTTCACTGGCCCAAGTTGGCACCATCATTGTGCTCTTCCCGGGCGAGGCAGATCAGTCGCCGGCTTCTGGACAGCCGCTCACTGCGGCTGCTGGCCGCTCACGCTGGCTGCTGGCTACATACTTTCTGGTTATTTTTTATGGGCAGATGTGTCTAGGCAACCACCCCAGGAGACACTATCTTGGTAAATAAAATACACCCGACAAGCGTTTTGAACTCCGTAACAGTAAACCCTACATATTATCATTGCCCTCAGCAGTAAGTGGCCTCAGCAGTAAGGCATGCCATAAAATCACTGCAGACGTGGAGCGACAATGGCCCTGTGATTCACAATGGCAACAGAGGCAAACCTGGTGGGACCTCGGCTGGCCTAGATACGAGTGTTAGGGGCCCAGGTCTAATTTGGTGGTGGACTGGGCCATGGCTGGGGAACCCCTCCTCAGGGACAATTTTTGGACTGTCTGTTCAGGTTACAACAGGACAGCAAGCAGTTCTTAGGCATACAGGAAACATCTGCAGCCCCCCACAGAGAGGCTGGCAGGGTGTCCGACAGAGTAGTCCTAAAACAGAACTGGGAACTAGGAGAAGTCCATCAGTAGGAACCAGACATTCATGGTACCCTTTGTTCCTTTAATTCCACAAGTATGGATTGACCATTATATGCCCTGGCGTAGTGTATAAGAGCAAGTGGATATAGCTGAGAGCTGGAGCCGGACTGCTGTGGCTCCAATCTGAATCCACCAGTATTATCTATGTGATTTCAGGGAGCAAGATGCTCAACCTGTGTCTCAATACACTGACTTGTAAAGTGGGGGTACCAGTAGTACCTACCTCACACTGTTGTTAGGAAGCTTAAACGCGTTACTTTAAGTCAAGCACTTAGAACAGTACCCGGAACACATAACAAGCTCTCCACAAACATTTGCTGTGATGTTATCATTGTTGCTTGAAGTCGGGTGCGGTGCTAGCACTGGGGCTACAGACGCAGACAAAGCAGGGGATGGGTCTGCCCTCCAAGGGCTTCTGTTCTGCAGCACAGGGTGGGGTTGCGAGAGCACTGGGGCTCGCTCAGGGCGGAACTTCTTCTACCAGCCGGTGCCCAGTAGCTCAGGGACCGGACTAGACTTCAATCCCCAAACCTGGCCAGAATGGGGCAGGCAGGGACTAATACACAAAGCGTGTGTCCTTCTCAGCCTCCTCTTTGAAAATCTCTCCTGACCAACAGAGCACTGATACATAACATCTTTCTCCACCTGCACCCCAATTCCACATCCTCAGCTTTTCCTTTAAGATGTTTTTCAGTTCTGATTCAATCTAACTAATAATCTTCATGCGAAAGCCTAATTAAGATATCAATTAATTTGCATCATTCATTTCAGAAGAGGCGCTTATTGGTTGGTTCATCTTCTATTTGTCCCTGAAATTAGTGCTCAGAGCTTTTCATGCAGATATTTTCATTAGACTTTTTATTGTTAATGGGAATATTGAACACAGGAAGATGGTATATTAATACTTTCCACAAAGAATATCATAATTGGTGACAAAGAACACTAAGAACAATTAAGGAGACAAGAGTACCTTTTTTCTTCCAAAAAAAGAAAATCTTCCTAGAAACCGTCAATGGTTCTAAAATTCATGCTGAATATCTTTTTTGTTTTAAAAAAGAAAAGGAAACGGCAAGTTCACAGTTCCCTTTCATTCAGTGCCCTCAACCTTTGGCAGCTGTAAGTGCAACCAACTCTGGGTTGAATTAAAAGAACCTCTAAGGGTTCCTTATTTTGTCTACAATTTTCTATAAGATTTTTCCATAATGAGAGGTTGTTGTTTTTTTTTAAAGGACTTCAAAGTGTGACCAAGATAAGTGGGAAACCCAATAAACAGGGCTGTATCCCCACCACTTGCTTTCCAGTTATGTGAGTAGCACATGTCAGGACTCTTGTGTTTGAATTATGACTCCCACTACTCAGTGATCCCAGGCGCATTTTTGACCCCTTTGAGACTGTGGCTTCTTGTCTGTAAAACTGACACAAATCCTTACTCTTCAGGACTGAGACAAGGGGAAAAGGAAATTACAAATGCAAAGGGAAGAAGCC